AGTTAATATCCAGAATATCTAAAGACCTCTTATCACCTAACAACAGCAACAAAACAACAATCTGATTGAAAAATGGGCCAAGGACTTAGACATTTCTCCAAAGAAGATACACAAATGGTCAATAAGCACATGAAAAGGTGCTTCACATCACTAGTCATCAGGGAAATGCAAATCAAAGTAAGACAGCACCTCATACCCAACATAACTAGAAAATAACTATCAACATAAACAGAAAATAAAAGCATTGGGGAGGATGTGAAGAAACCGGAACCCTTGTGCAGTGCTGGTGGGAATATGAAATGAGGCTGCCACTGTGGAAAACAGTATGATGGTTCGTCAAAAATTAAAAACATGCCCTGACCGTTGTCCCATGCAACAAAAGGTCGCTGGTTCGATTCCAGTCAAGACACATGCCTTGGTTGCAGGTTCCACCCCGGTCGGGGTGCATATGAGAGGCAACCGATCTATGTTTCTTTCTCACATAGATGTTTCTCTCTCTCTCTCTCTCTCTCGTCAATAAAAACATATTTTTTTAAAATTAAAGACAGAATTATAACATGATCCAGCAATTCCACTTCTGGTATATATCCAAAATAATTGAAAGCAGGGTTTCAAAAAGATATTTGTACACTCACGTTCATAGCAGCATTACTCACAATAGCCAAAATGTGGAAGCAACTCAAGTGCCCATCCACAGATGGATGGGTAAATAAAATGTGGCGTATATATACAATGGAATACCACTCTGCCTTTAACAAGGAAAGGACTTCTGACACAAACTGCAACATGATGAACCTTGAAGACATGATGCGAAGTGAAATACGTCAATCACAAAAAGACAAAAACTCCGTGATTCCACTTATGCGATATACTCAGTGTAGTCAAATTCATGGGGACAGAAAGCAGAATGGTGGTTGCCAGGGCTGGAGGGAGGAGGAGACGGGAGTTGTTTGTTGAGTAGAGTACAGAGTTTTAGTTACAGGATGAGAGATAACAGGTCTGGAGATTGAACATGGATGTACTTACCACTGAACTATACACTTAAAAATGGTCAAGATGGTCAATTGTATGTTCTGTGTATTTTGCCACAATTAAAAATAAAAAAAAATTGTAATGTTTCCACCTAAAGAAATAGAATCTAACCATAGAGTGTTGTTGTAAAGATGAATAATAGATGCAAAATATTGATGGTTTGTAGACTTTTATTAATATGTACAACGTTTCAATAACAAGTTTACAAAAAAACCGTGTGAAGTGCTTAGAGCAGCGCATAGCAAGCCAGCATCGGGTGAGGGTAGAGCACCTTTGCTGCCCCGTGAATGTGCCTGAAACCCCAGCTGGACTGTGAACCTGCAAGGACCCAGACAGGACCATCTACCTCTGCTTCCCCAGCACCCAGCATAGGGCCTGGCACACGCCATGATAGCAACAGTCCTCAATAAGAAGAACAGATAATAGCAAAATCGTAGCTAATATTTATTGGGCTTTTACCAGATGCCACTTGCTATTGTAAGTGCTTTACTTCCATTGATCCACTTAATTCTCACAACAGATTGATGAGGTAGGTGCTGCCATAATTCCCATTTTACAGATGAGGAAACTGAGGCCTACAGGGAGACACACATTCAGTGCATCAAATGCCTTAGGTGACTTATGACATGTTGTGGTATCATCTACTTCCTGACACTCCCTGGAATGCCTCTTTGCCTGTCAAGTCCTCCTCATCCTTCCTGATCCAGGCACCATCTGGTGGCCACCCCTGTGCCTCCCTGAGCCTCCTTCCACCTCTGTGGACACCGAGTTAATTCTTCTCTCCTCCGTGTTACCCAAATCCCCATGCATCACAGCATCCGCCCTGCTACACTAGGATTCATCTGTTTATCGTCTGTCTTTTCTTTGAGACCTGGGGCCCCTTCCGAGCAGAAACCACATCACAACCCCAGGACCTGGTCCATACTAGGTGCTCAATTAACACTTGCTTGGGGTAAACATGAATGCGAAATGGAATGCTTGGTCTATCCCCTATCCAAAGCAGAAGTTTATCCCCTCCCAGCCACCTTGACTCACTTCTGGAGCAAGGCAGGATATAAATCCACCAACCAAATGCAGTCTCACTTCCTTGGCAGGAGGTCAGTCAGCCCCTTCACAGGAAAATAGGACTGTCTCTGACATGCGACATGTTTTCAGCTCAGGCTGGAGCACTTAGTGCTTAGCTATTCCTCAGGTCCTCTCCTCTATGACCTGGTATAACAGCACCGGACCCCAAACAGCACCTCATGTTTTCAAAGTGTTCTTATGTCCACTATCTCACTTGATAACCCTGTGAAGTGGGTGTTACAGGTACAATTACCCCTCTGTGACAGATGAGGAAACGGAGGCACGGGGAGTTACTCAAGCTCCTTCTTATGGGCGTGTGTTCTGCTCTGTCTGGGGGCTTAGGTGCCAAAAAGCAGGCGCTAGAACAAGCAAGCTGGCTTTTCCAAGACTGTCCTTAGGACTTGCTCACCTGCCCGGGATGGAGCTCACGCTGACCTCTCTCAGTGGGGTGATGAGGGGGCTGATGCAGATGATGCCTTCCCAGACCCTGACCTTCGGGAGGTGCCATTTAAAAATATATTTTTATTGATTTCAGAGAGGAAGGGAGAAGGAGAGAGACATAGAAACATCAATGATGAGTGAGAATTATTGATCGGCTACCTCCTGCATGCCCCCTAGTGGGGATAGAGCCTAGAGCCTGCAACTGGGGCATGTGCCCTTGACCGGCATTGAATTGTGACCTCCTGGTTCATAGTCAATGCTTAACCACTGAGCCACTGTGGCCAGGCGGGAGATGCCTTTTTTAAAGCCCCCCCCACCCCCCCGCAAGAATGGTCCCTGCGGGGACAGCTTTCTTCATCCAGAGATTAAGGAAAACAGTCTCCAGACGCAGCGAGGGAGACTCAAGACAACAGGAGCCCTGAGCTCCTCCCAGGATCGCGTGCTCATCAGGGGAGCATGCTGAGCAGCGAGGCCACAAACTGCCTCCCCCAGAGACGCCCCTCCAGAGGGACGGCCTGCGGGGGGGGGGCGGTTCGGGGCTAGCCAGAGCCAGGCTGAGTTGCCCCGGTAGCAGAGGATGTTGGGAATTGGGCAAGCATATTGGGGGAAAGGCAGAGCCCGCAATCAGACTGTGGGTTGTGGGGCAACCTGGGGGAGCAGAACCTGGCCCTGTTTACAGGAAAGAGCTCCGTCCTGTGTGTGTGTCCCAACAGACCTGCGCAGGCTGGGCCCAGGCTGACGAAATCAGGACCGGCAGGCCGGGCCGTGAAGAAATCCCCCAGGAAGGGGCCGGAGGAAGGCGAGGAGGACGGGGCTGAGATGCCCCCTTAGTACTCAATCGCCTGTGAAACCCAACTCGGTTCCGATGAAACGGGCAGGAAGAATCCTCCCTGGGCCCGGGAAGGACGGCCTGGGTCTCTGGACGTGAGGACGAGGCCCACGGGGATTCCAAGCAGGTTCCTGTTTGCCTCCCTCCAGCCGGCGGACCACCCACTGTGTGCTGACCCTGGCCGGGGGGAAGGGTGGCCCCGGCTCGGTGAGGACAGACAGCAGCCCCACCCGGTGCAGCGGGACACACACCTCCACGGGGGCGGGGGGCGCAGGAAGGTCCAGAGGGAAATGGGTGGGGGCCCAGCTGAGTCCCAAAAGGCAAGTGTTGGCAGACGGGCAAGTGTGGAAGGGATGGCGACAGGGCCCCACCAGGGAGCAGCAGGGCAAAACCCCCTTCAGAGCTTGACTGACCAGACACAAAGGTCCCCGCTCAACCTGCAGGGCACTTCTGCTCCTCTGTGATACACAGACCCAGCTGGGAGAGAGCCAGCCAAGGCCCTTAAATGACACCCCCCCCCCAATCACCTGCACAGGGGAGCAATGAGGATGATGGCCCATCATTCCCTTAAAACTCATTGTTTCTACCACAGTAACTTTAGGACGTGGGTTCCCAGACAATCCTCAGAGAAGAAACCCACCAAGATGAGCCCTTGCAGGGCCCGAGGCAGAGGAGTCCCTCCCAGAGAGATCCTGAGTCCGATTCCCGAGCTCTCAGGGAGAGTCATCTGCACGGGGGAGCAATGAGGATGATGGCCCATCATTCCCTTAAAACTCATTGTTTCTACCACAGTAACTTTAGGACGTGGGTTCCCAGACAATCCTCAGAGAAGAAACCCACCAAGATGAGCCCTTGCAGGGCCCGAGGCAGAGGAGTCCCTCCCAGAGAGATCCTGAGTCCGATTCCCGAGCTCTCAGGGAGAGAAAAACACAGACAACACAGACAGGACGGGGCAGGGCTCAGCTGGGCGGGGTCAGGGGCCAGGGAGGACTGGGATCCGTGAGTCACCAGCAGCCCTGAGCTGGAGTGACACCGCGTCTATCATCATTTTTTATTAGTAAAACCAGACCCAGCCCTCCTTCCTCCAGGAAGACTTCCCTGATTGACAGTCACCCAAGTGCCACTCATCGCTCTTCCCCCTAACAGGCTGGATTGTTGGCTCTGCCCTGGTCCCTGTCTGACTCAGCGGCACAAAACCCACCTCACGGTCTACCTCCCAGACTGGCCCTGACCCTGCACCCCAGGCAATTGCCAGCATCATCTTCTCGCCCGTCCTGGCCCCTTCCCAGGCGCTCCCTTTGCACACTGATCCTTGGGGCTCTCATCCAGAGACAGAGACCTTCAAGCCAGGGTCCATGTCGAGGGTGCCTCTGCCCTCCTGTCCCGTCCCACCATGTAGGTGCCTGAAGGAGTGATCAGCATCTCGTGTCAGAGGGTCAGCTCCCCAAAGAGAAGACTCCTCTCTGTCAGACAGAGGCTGAGAGCAGGGGCTGCCTCCCCCTCAGACAGGGGCTCCTGGGGGCATGGGTTCTGTCTGTCATCCAAAATAGATGACCTCCTATTTGGGGATCCAGACCTCCCCTCCTGGACCCATGGCTGACGCCCTAACCACGAAGAGAGAGACACCAGAAACTGCTGTGAAGTTGCTTTATTCTCTTCCCTCCCGGGTGTCCTTCCACACCCATGCACAGGCGTGCGCACACACATGGCACACGCAGACACGCGTGGCAGAGCTCCACTGGGCCGCCCGGCTGGGTCACGTGGCTCCTGGGGCAGGCCTGGGGGGCTGCCCGCTCCCTCTAGTAGAGGCTGTGCCGGGCGCAGTAGTGGGCGCACAGCTGCCGGTGGTACTGCAGGTGGTAGTCCCTCAGCAGCTGGCCCAGGACGTACAGGAACTCGTCAAAGCAGATCTGGTTGTCCTTGTCCTTGTCCGCTGCCCGGAACAGCTCGGTGATGAAGTACGGCTTCTCCCGGCCCTGAGGAGGGGGCAGAGGGTCAGCCAGCCCCCAGGCACTCGGCCCTGGCAGATGGTCCGGCTCCACCGCCCACTGGTGAGGAGCCAGCGCAGGGACACGGAGTGTGGCCCTGCCTGCCGGGGGCTCGCGGGAAACAGCTCCTCGCTCACTCGGTGGCCAGGACACTGCGCGGCAGAATCAGGCAGAAGGGGCACAGGGTGCCGGGCACCTGGACCTGGGCCGCATGGGCAGACAGATGGTGCAGACTGGGCACCGCTTGCTGGCTGGCCGGCTAGTGGCTGAGCAGAGCTGAGCGCCTGGCCCTCTGCTGGGGGCTTTAAGCCTGTCTTCCCAGCTGCACATACACCCTGCAGGGGCCGCCCAGCCTGGGGCTTCACACCTGGAGCTGTGGAGTCACCGCCCACCTGTCCCTCAGGCCTGCACCTCCAGCACCATTGCAGGTCGGCACCCAGTGGGTCGGATTCCCGCAGGGCGTGCCATCCGCCCAGGATTGTTCATGGCAACTGGCCTGTGTCCTCAGGGAAGTGCAGAATGGGGGAAGGCCACCGCCATGGGCCCTGGGACTGTCCGATGTCCCAGAGCAGTGGCCCTGAGGGCTAAGGACTGGGGGTGGCGTAGGAGAGCAAAGGAGCTTTCGAGGTGGAAGGGACAGCAGGGAGGAGGTCAATGGTCAGCGCGCATGGAGGAGACAGGACAGGCGATGATGAGGAGAGCCCCGGGCAGGGCAGGGGCAGTGAAGCAGGTTTCAGCCGGTTTGGGCTGGAGGCGGGGGACCCAGGGTGCAGCCCTCAGAAAGCCTCCGGGGAGGGAAGTCACTGCCTCAGGAAACAGCTGGGGGCCTGGAGGGCAGCTCCCACCCTGGGGCAGACTGGCACCCTCTGTCCCCCCCACCACCCTCCACCAGCTACTTCCTTTAATCTGTCCCCTCCACAGAGCTGGCTGACCCCACAGTGCACAGGCCTCCTGCCTGGGGCAGCTCTCCCAGGCTCCCCTCACTCAGTCCACCTGCCCAGGCCGCCATCTCCGCCCTGTGCCCAGGTGCCTGCCCCGTGGGCCCCATACCCAGGTGGAAAGTTTTCCCTAGAAACAGGGGCCTAATCACAGTCCCCCCATGACCCCTCTGTGACCTGGTGGCTGCGCTCCAATAAGCCCAGGACCAGACTCTCCTCTGATGTTCCCCAAAGGGAGGCAAGGCAGACCCGCAGGGACGAGGGGTGCTTGTCCCGGATGAGCAGCCTTGACTCACCCGGGGGCATGGCACCGAGGGCAGACACTCGGGTTGGCCTTGCATCCCCAGGAGCCGGGTAATCACATGGCTCGTCCTGATGGCAGAGGAGATTCCAGGCCTGAGCAGGGTGGCTGAGCAGCCTAGACTCGGGGCTGGGCCCCTAGGCTGGTCTGAGACAACCTGGGACAAGAGGGGGAGGGCAAGCTCCATTTCCTACCTGCCCACACCTCGTCCCTCCTGGCTCCCCTTTAACCCCGCGATCATCCCCAGCGTGGGGGTGGGTAGGAGGAGGCTGTGCTGGACCCCAGGAGAAGGGGCTGGGCTCGAGGGGCAGGCTGGGCAGGGCCGAGGGGCAGAGGGGAGGGTTAGGGCCTGTGCTCAGGGGAAGCAAAACAAGCAGAGCAACAAAGGGCTTTGGGGTTCGGATGGCGTCTCGGGGATTAGCGATGCTTGGGCTGGAGGGGGGCCAGGCAGGGAGTCTCGGGAGGAAAAGCCGCCAGGGCCGTCCTCCCTCCGGCCGCTGATCCTGCCTCGGCCCTCCCCTCCCCTAAGTTCAAATGCTCCTGGGAGATGCTCCCCATACCAAACCCTCACTTCAAACCCCACAACCTACCCTCCACTCCACCCACCTGCCCCCAGGCCCCGCGCACCAGGCTCTCCATGAAGCGGGGCACGTTGTCCATGAGCAGGGCCTTCAGCTCCTCCAGGGACAGGGTCTCCACGTCCCCCTCCCGGGCCGCGTACTGGTGGTAGCTGTGGATGATTTGGAAGAGGGATTCCTCGACTGGCGTGTCCGTCATGGCAGCGGGGCCCTCTGATGGCCGCGGACAAGGGCCAACTCCAGAGATGTGGAGGTGGAGCAGCTGCGGACAGCGGAGAATCGGGGAGAGAGAGCAGCACCTCCTCTGGGCCAGCCCAAGCACCCTCTGCCCTGCCCTTCCTGCCCACCTGGTCTCAGGCCCCTCCCTGCCCATCCTCAGTGCCTCCAATTACGGCAGCCAGTGTTGTGACTCCTCACAGGTTCCTGGGCAGCACAGCTGAGCCTTCACTGCATTCCTGGGATGACATCACACGCACTTGCTCCCTAAGATGCACTCAGCCAGCTTCAGGGACCCACCTTCCCTCAGAGCCTGATCTGAAGCATCTCAGACCCACACGAGGTCACAAGGTTATCCATCTCCCTGCCTCCAGCTCATCCTCCCAGCTCCAGGGCTTGGGTGGGGCTACACACACAGCCCCAATACATCTCCCTGGCATGTCCTACCTCAATTAGTGAACCCCCAGACTCCACCGTCATGAAGGACAGTCACTCATCCGACAGCGTGCCAGGGCTCTCCGGGCAATATGAGTAGGACACGCGGCCAGCTCACAGGGCGGGAACGAGCGGAGGGGACAGTGACACACTGTGAACACTGCTGATTTAGTGGCACAAACTGGGCACCCAGGAAGGGACACCGTCTGCCTGGAGAGTTGCGGAATACTTCAGTTGAGGCAACATTTAGGTGGGATTGAAGATGTTGTTGCGAGGAGAAGCACGGAGGACCAGCACTCCAGACGGAGGAACCGCATGGTCATAGGCGTGGGGGTATGAAAGTGGGTGGCCTGCAAGGGGAAGGTGTCCACGGGGTTCATGAGGAGCAGGTAGGAGACACAGGGCTGGAGAGGAGGATGGAGGCCGATGCGAAGGGCCCTGTGTGCCGAGCTAGAGCTGCACCTTTCTCCTGTGCACAGGATTTCAGATGGTAGGTGATGGGTGGGAGATCAGAGACAAGTGGTAGGAACAGCTTTATTATAAGGCAATAATGGACTGCTGTGTGGAAGTGGCCCTCCTCTAAAAGAAGCCAGGTGTGTAGGCTTGGCCTCCAGACAGCTACCACCTGGGCCTTTGAGTGGCAGGTGAACTCCTTCCCCCATCTCCAGCTTTCTGTCAGCCAGCCAGCCCTTCTACCCCTGCCTTGCTTCTCCCCTGGGATGGGCACGCAGCGGGTGAGTAAATCTCCCAGAAGGGGGCGCCAAAGAGCAGGTTATTGAACCAGAGATTAAGCCTCCACATTCCTGAAGGTTTGAGAGAAACAGGTAAATACTGAAGCCAAACTTCTTCCAGTTTACAGGGTGAGCCTTCATCTACCCAACATAATGATTTCCTCGGCAAATAAGTGGTTCATCAATACACTAAAATAAAATAAAAATGGCTCACGTGTCTAAGAGGTAAAACAATTTGGCAATGCCAAGCTAGAGTCTCCGAGAATTTATGGAATACCTTAGATTCAGCCATCATTCCCCCTGGGAATTTATCCCAAGAAAGTAATTAAAAAAACAATAAGTCTGGTAAGAAAAAGCAATAAGTAGGTGTTGACCACAGCAATATCTATAGCCAAATAGCAAAAATAAAAACCTAGAAGCCACCTAATTAAGGAATTTGGTGTGCCAATACGACCTTGGACAATTGCTAGATAACAGCTTGTCACTTAAAAAAAATCAATTTTTGACACAGAGCTTGTTGGGGGTAGAGGTTTCATATTGTACCCCCTTCACCCTGCCTTTTTTTCAATCTGGGACAAAAACAACCCCCCCCCCCATACTGTCCCAATACACAGTGATGATCTCCTAGAACAGCTGTGTTGCAACTAGTCTTTTCATTAATACTGTGCTGTGGACATCTGCTCACACACTAAGTGAATGGAGCCTAATTTTTAACGAGTGCATAGTGATCATTTACTTGCATATATCAACATTTGTTCTTTAATCCATTACCAGTCGCCATTTAAATTATGTTAGGTTCATACAATTCAAGGTTAATTCTTGCTTAACACTGACATTTCTTCCAAATTTTGCCATGTGTGCTACGTGCTAGGCACAGCGGTTCTCAACCTGTGGGTCGCGACCCCTTTGGCGGTCGAACGACCCTTTCACAGGGGTCGCCTAAGACCATCCTGCATATCAGATGTTTACATTACGATTCATAACAGTAGCAACATTACAGTTATGAAGTAGCAACAAAAATAATTTTATGGTTGGGTCACAACATGAGGAACTGTATTTAAAGGGCCAGAAGGTTGAGAACCACTGTGCTAGGGGGAAGGATAGAAATGAATTTCCACCACTTCCTCTGCCTGAGCCACACTGTTTCACTGCCAGTACCTCCCACAGCCATACGAAGAGGCTCTGGAACTAGAGAGAGGTTGTGATGTGATGTGGTGGTTGTGGAAAATTGTGAATGTACTTAATGTTGCTGGCATGTACGTGATTTTTTACAGAGAGGAAGGGAGAGGGATAGAGAGTCAGAAACATTGAAGAGAGAGAAACATCCATCAGCTGCCCCCTGCACACCCCCCACTGGGGATGTTCCCGCAACCAAGGCACATGCCCCTGACCGGAATTGAACCTGGGACCCTTCAGTCTTCAGGCCAACACTCTATCCATTGAGCCAAACCAGTTAGGGCTGGCATGTACATTTTGAAGGATCATAGACAAATTACATTTTATTTAAATTAAATTTTATTAACATTTTATTATATTTCATGTGAAATACATTTTATTTTAACTGCATAGGACAAAAACTACTAGTAAAAATTTAAGTATATGTAAGATAAACACAAATATTTAAAAACTGCATCTCTAAGGGGAGCCCTTTCTGTCATGACAGCTACACACGCTGCAGCCCAGAACAAGGGACCAGGGGCCTCCCAGGAGCTGAAGCGAGTTGCCCACACGCTGCAGGTGGTTCTTCTGCCTCTAGAAGGTCAGTGAAAGCTGTTCCCGGAGCCCACTCTGACTCTGGAGAGGCCACTAGAGTCGGCATTGCCCCTTGAGGTCTTTTAAGAACTTGCTCTGGAGCTGGTTCTGTAGATCCCAGAAGAGAACATGTTACCACCATGACTGCCTCGATGTGCCTTCCAAAGACAGAACATCTCTGCTATCCATCGATGGAGTCCCAGTTCCAGAGCCCACCCCAGGAAGTCTTCCCAGACTGCAGGCCATGGGGACAGTGATTAGAGCAACACTTTGCTCCTGCCTAACTCTAGCTTCTGGAAGCTCTTCTCTGTGTGGCTTAGACCCACAGGCACCCAAACCTTCCACCCCCAGACCTCCTCATCTTCTGCCTCTACATCTGTGGGCTCACATTGCTCTAGCTCTGAAAGGAGCAGCTGGGCCCAGTGCTCCAGGTGTGAGCTGGTTCTGTAGATCCAAGAAGGACAGAGGCAGATGGGAAGGGCCCTGTGTGGGTAATGGCACGCCTCTTTCCATGGCTAGTGGAGTGGACTGTCACTGATGACTCAGCATGAGCTTTCTGCTCATCATTCCCTGCCCTCTCCTCCCCTCGCCTCTTCGGTCCTGTCTTCTCACTTGCTACCCACTCTCTGGACTCCAGTGCTAGCTTTACTCCTCATGCCTGGAACAGCCATCACTCTGTGCTTTCCCCAGACACCCAGCTCCCAGCATTTAGCAAACCATTGAGAGGATCAGCTCAGCAGACAGGCTGGCTCTCACCTCCACAGGGACACCACACAGGCTAAAACACACACACACACACACACACACACACACACACACACACACACCTGCACAGGGACAGGACACAGCCCAGAAGCCCAGGACACAGGACAAGGGATTCAGTCCTATGGGTACTGATGAGTGTCCCATTCACAGTGCCTATGTGGCCCCTATGCCCGCCACCCAATGCCTTTTTCAGTGGTGCCATCTCCCCTATGTCCCTGGGATCATGCTGGGCAGGAGCGCGTGGGCATGAGGCACCGTGTTCACACCTCCCTTGGCTCCTGCTCCCTGAAATTCCTGGATACCCAGATGATGATCATGGCTTGAGAAGGAAAAGCATGGCTGGGCCAGCAGAATGCTCTGCACTGCTGACCCTGGGACCTGGCACGCTGGCTGCACTAGGAAGCAGGGGCAGAGGTGGACAGAGGCCCTGCTGAGAGAGGTG